AACGCGAAAATGTTTAAGACTAAATTGGTACGATTAAAAGGTTTATGACTGAATTAGCAAGAGTGCAATAGGTGTATGACTTTTTGGATAATTTTCCCCCATACTATGCATATATGTGTATGGCAAAACGCGAAAACAGAATCAACTTTAAAACATGTAATAAGAAGTGACAAAGCAAAGGTGGCCTCGGCCACGGACCTATGCTCACATAAGGTTGAATGGTCAAATTGACATTCACGTCGATATTGAAGAGTAGAACTGGCATGTGCTGAAACTGTTACCTTGCCGAGCCTGATGACTAATGACCGCTTAGACTTTCCACTAGCATGTGCGGTTCTTACTTGTACGAGGATCTTACCATTATCTAAATGCGAAATGCTTATACTCGTTGGCGGCCAAACAACATCGAAACGTCACACGATATGCAAAAACTTGGGTCATTCATCTTTCATTTATAATTCTTCTAGATTTTTTTGGGCTGATGCAACGTGGGTAATTAATGGCGGCTTCGAAGAACAAAGAAGCATCCGAGATCGTAGCAGTTGGAAACCCTCTTTTTTATTTCCTTGTAATCGACAAAACAAAAAAATAATAATCATGTGGCGAAACAACCACCAAAAGTCTAATAGATGACTCTAGCTCGCATGCATCGTTAAATGAGATAGGCCCCATATAAAACTCACATGGTCTAATGATGAACATGAGTTTCACACTCATGATTCCGATGGATACTTGTTCCACGACTATTACTGCACACTCAAAAGAGGTGAGGGCAGAACTCACACTAGAGTGAGATCACAAGAATTAAGTTTCCAATGAAGGAACTTGAGAGAACTTGCTAACAGCGACTAGTTTAAGCTTGTGCCTAGCAAAAGCACCAAAGCCTTCCTCAAGAAATAGTTAACAATTGTGAGCATACACCTGACACTTCTCTTTGAAAGAAATTACGAAAGCCTATATATCAGTGGGTTCCTTTGACAGATGTACTGAATTGTATTTCTCACTATTTCTCTGAGTCCATACCTGCGTACATCTTGATCTAGTGCATTTGTAACAATACCACACAGTCAATTCTTTTCACTTAAAATTTTCTGATCTCTTTGGGATTTTGCGCCACAATCTCATATGTCAGAATTTCATTATCTCTCGACTTAAGGCATCAGAGATCATAATAGCGAATGGTCACTGTCTCCCATGGGAGCTGATAAGCCTATTGTGCTTTTATCGATCTTGTTATTACCAAAATGGCTCGAACAATATTCAAAATCTCTACTCCTAAAGTATGTGAATAGCCAGCTAAAGGAAGCGCACCCGAGGAAATTAGATTTTCTTCAACTCCGAAATGTGGCCGCACTAGTTATCATCCCTAACATGCCTACACGCATTTTGATTTTATTTCCCTTAAATAGACTTCCTTAATTTCAAGTTACTTAAAACTATGGTATATAGACATGATGGTTGCTGAATATGAAACCCACGAACAATTTTTCCCCCAAGTGGCTTCTCAAGTTACATTCTTATCAGACAGTTTGACATAAAAGCAATTTCTCAGGCCAACTCGAGGACAAATTTTTACTCTCAATATCCTTTCATGGATATTGGAGAACTGACATTTGATAACTCACGCCACAGCGGAAGTCAAGTCGCTGCAGTGGCAAGGCATCTCTCTCGTGATGTAAACCGTGACTCAAATGAAAGGGTCGCATGCCTCTCGCGTGATGCAAACCGTGACTCAAATGAAAGGGTCGCATGCCTCTCTCGTGATGCAAACCATGACTCAAATAAAAGGGCCGCCTACTTTAGGGTAAAATATAAAAATAAATAAAGAATATCAGAAACCATCGTGACTTTTCATCTTAATACCACTGTCCATTTTCTATTTTCAAAGTACATCTTTGTATTCTCGCTCTTTTGTTTAGACACCTCCTACCACCTCAAAACAAACATTTATTTACCCAATTGCCATTTTCCTAGCTCCCTAATAAACCCGTTATCTTCCGAAATCCTTTTATCCACTTAGAATGCTATAGACCCCTTTCCAAAATTTCCCAATTATTGTGACTATCGTTATTGCCAATATCTGTCTCGCACCACTCATCGGGCTCGTCACTGCAGACCCATCAATAAGATTGCTAGTTAATCTCCTCTCACGAGATATCAATGACGAGGCAACACAACAGAACCGTTTAGAGATTCACTCATGGCATGAATCGGACTCATGGACCTTATGAAAGACGGGTGACTCATTTACCAATAGGCGCACCTTGGTGAGGAACTGGAGTAAGGTGGTCATTTTTTAATGGAGGGCAAATTAGGCATTTTATCAATGGGATTTTGTCGGTGGATGTACGGTGGGATTAATTAAAATAGAGGATTTAAAGTGGTATTGGGCCCAGTGCTTGGTATTTTCCAAAAAAATAAAAAAGAACACAAAACCACCCAATCTTCGAAGCTAACATTTGAACCCTGTTGGTCAATTCTCGAAGATGTCTTGATCTCCGTCATTTTCCTCCTTCATTCAGAACCTTGGAGGATAAATCCTTATGTCATTTTTGTCTAGGCTTTATCGTCTAAATACGCCGCACGACTTTAGGTCAGCTAGAACTGGAAGCAAAGTTGAGACTGTATCTCTGAATTAAACCTATGAAATTGGTTTAGTGGATAAGGAACGGAGTTATATGTGTAGGTTAAACGCACAACACAAATTTGATTCGCTGCATCATGAAATGTGAATATCTCCATGTTTGGGCAAATAACTCGATCCTCAATTTTATGTGATTTATGAGATTACTTAAAAATTTCATGAGAGGTTCATAAATTTTAACTTAATCTTTTCCTACCCAAAAAATATAGTTAAAAGAGAGTAGATGACTGCTTAAATGGAACGACAGGTTTGTTTTCCCAATGCATATTGATCCCATTGACCATCACAAAAATGTGTCAATTGTTTACCATGTGGTGCTTTTATACGGCAGTTTTCTTAATTTATTAGGTTCGCACAAGGCGTTTTAGAGACGGAAAAATTCTCAAAAAGTATTTTAAAGTCACACAAGGACGAATTTGTTATAAAAAAAAAAGTATTCGCACAAGAATGAAAAACAGTCACATGAGTGGGTTATTCGACGATAGATTTAGCCACCAACTGTTTTCAACCATTCGAAATATTCAAAAAATTATTTTTTTAAAAAAATTAATTATATTTTTTATATTTTTTCTAAAATTAGGAAGAAGCTTAGAAACTAAATGTTGAGTAGTTTTTCTTAAAAATGTTTGAAAATCTTCGATAAAAATTGTGCTCTAATTAAACAAGCCTAGGGCTTTACTATAGAGTTTTGAATGTTCTTAGAGACAAATATTAGGCCATTGTTTGCACATTTCCATTTTGATTACTACTTGATTACTATAGAGTTTTGAATGTTCTTAGAGACAAATATTAGGCCGTTGTTTGCACATTTCCATTTTGATTACTACTTGATTACGTACTTTTCATACATTGGTTGTTGCTTTCCTTAGCTTGGTTAGGGATAGAATTTTAGGATTCACAGTTGGTAAGATTGCTACATGAACATGTCAGGTAGTGATTGAATAAGGTTAGGTACTGAAAAGGCACTAGTTGATTAATTAATATATTCAAGTCCCCGAACCCATTGAATTTTTGGTTCGTCGAAGTAAAGCAATTCTCCCACCTTTGCTTGGGTATCTAATCGACCTATAAAAAACTAATTAGTGGCTACTCCTAATTGAAATTAATTTGCATGTTCATAACTTAAACCTAAGTCGTGAATTGGTATGGACTTGGGAGAGCCCGAGCTAGGTTTAACTTAGTAATCCATTAGTCAAACCCCCTAGGTAGCGAGACCGATTCAAGGAGGTGGTGACACAAGTGTACAATCTGGTTGGAATAAATAATATTGTTATATATATCGTTTCAATTTCTTATTTCAAATGTTTTGTCGACCAATGCATAAAATGTTTACATGCACATTTATATCAATTTGTGTTTGCACAAGTTAAAGAATTTTATTAAGCATTTGCTTTTGGTACACTTTCATGCGATATCTTGTTGAAATCATCAGTCAAATTAACATTTACCTTGCACATTTGGATCAAAGAAACGGAGGGTGGCCAAGAACGCTACCCCATACTATGCATATCGGCCACGGACTTATGCTCAACTAATGACCGCTCAAGCTTTCTACTAGAATCTATAGATTATCTCCATTTTCCTAATCCCCTCAAAGGCTACAAAATGATGCGGTTCTTCCCTGTATAAGGATCTTATTCATCTTCTTTCTTTCTTCCTTATAGTATCATCATCTAAATGCAAACATGTGTGTATTTGGTGGCGGCGAAACAACATCAAGACGTCACAATATGCCAAACTTGTGTCATTCATTTTTCATTTAAGATTTCTATAATATTTTCGGATCGATACAACGTGAGTAATTGGAGGCGGCGTCGAAGAACGAAGAAGCATCCGAGACCGTGGCAGTTGTGAACCGTCGTTTTCTCTTGGTCCTACGCGGCATAATGTTCTTGTCATGAGCAAATCGACAAGATAAGATAATTGTCTGGAGCAAGCTCCGAGCCTCTAGAAAAAGCAGACATTTCAAAGAATTACACCAATTTTGACTGTTGCCCACTTCTTCCCTTGGCAACCAAACCCAAACCCGCGCCCTTTCGTGGCCCACCGCGCAAGTGGTTTTGTGATTGCCGAATCGGAACCTCCCACGTGTCAAAGAGCACGAGCAAAATCAGTCAAACCATTCCTCACGTGCACATGTTTTCTTTCTCCTTTTTATACCGAAAAATGCACCTGAACTTCCTTTCTCGTCCGCGCTCAGGTTGGGGGATGTTTCTTGTGAGCATGACTAACTACCAAACGTTATTGCTTGATGAATATTGTAATGGGATGATCCAAAATTAGTCAAGGCAAATGTTTTTGAGTCCACGTTTTCAACTGGAAATTTTGCCTATAAATACGCCAAGCACGCTTCGCACCCTTCACCATCACATTCTTTCCGCAAGATAAACTCAGAACACGCAAAAGCAGAGAAAACTCGCCACGCAAATTCCATCCACACCCCGATTCATCTAAGTCATCAATGACATACTCCTGCGCACCAACGATGAAAAGAAGCAGAGATGACTATGAAAGGATGAGCTTGGACATGGCGAAATGCCTGATGCTTCTCTCCCACGGGGTCAACACAAACCCTAAAATATCCGCTGTGCATCACAATGAGGACAGCTTCGAGTGCAAGACGTGCAACCGCCGGTTCTCGTCATTCCAGGCACTCGGCGGCCACCGGGCGAGCCACAAGAAGCCAAAGCTGCCGGAGACGAAGCCCGAAGACATCACCAAGTTGGCTTTGGGCTCAACGGCAAAGACCAAGATGCACGAGTGCTCGATATGTGGGCTGAAGTTTGCGTTGGGGCAAGCCTTGGGAGGCCACATGAGGAGGCATAGGGCTGAGTTGATGAGCGGGAACATGATGAAGATGGACGAATTTTTTGCGATTGGTTCGACAGTCCCAGTTTTGCAGAGGTCGAATAGCAGCAATAAGAGGGTTATGTGCGTGGACTTGAACTTGACTCCTCTAGAGAATGACCTCAAGTTCTTGTTGGGCAAGATGGCTCCGAAGATAGATCCCTTGCTCTTGTAATTATGATTCCTTGTGCTCCCGCTGTCTTCGCGAGGAGTTTTACTGAGGTTGATTGTTTATTCATCCATTTGTTGTACAAAAAGAATGTCCTATTTCGACCGACTGAGTTTAGGGGCTTTTGTAAATCATCCAAGAATACGAGTTCAATCATTTATTTTTATCTCTTTTTCCTTTTTTCTTCCAGTTGTGAAAGAGATCATCTGTTGGCAAAATCATGTTGAATAAAACTAGATAGGAAGACAGCATGGTGTACAATATTAGTTATAAAAGATGGTGTGGCGAATCTGGATGCTTGCATTTGTTTCATTATCCGCTTTAAGTGACTTTTTCTTAGACGCCTTTTTTAAACTTTAGTCATTCAAACTTAAGACCTTTAACTTTAATAGCATATGAGAGCCAAGTGCATAATCTTCTATAATACGGTAAACTATTAGGCGGAGAGAGATTACACATACAACTTCCATTCTTTGCTTCCCTAATAGAATAATTTTCCACACGCTTGAGTTTCGGGTCAAAATTCAATGTATACGGGAGGAGAAATTTTATAATGTTGAAGGACTAATATGCAAAGAGGCCTGATATTGTAGTCTATTTCTAAAAGTAGACTCGCCTTTTTTATTATATCTCAAAATGACCTCACTTAAATAATTTGTATCAATATAGTGAATTATTTGTTGCCCTTCTCCTTTGTCAATTAAACGCAAAAACTTCAAGAAAACGATGTAGTTTGTGGCTTTCCCTCCACACAAGAAATCGTTTCACTGCTGCACTTTTAACTTTATTGTTAATAAAGGAACCGCACCTTTTCGGAGTTCAAGTTCAAAAGAGCATCGTTTTCTCTGCTGAGATCTCATGCAAATCTTTTTGTGGCTGGTCGACGTGAAACTACAATTATATTGTTGACCTTTGACGAGCTTCAAGCTAGGAGGGCAATCAATTTAGAACTTGCTTTCCTATAAGACAACTTGATTTAAAGTTCCTGAATAGGATAAGTTCACATGGTTATCATACCTTCTCATCTTCCAGCTTTTAATTTGACCAGAATTAAAAACCTCCCAGTTTGATTTAAATCTTTTTAAAACTTCTGAAGTTCTGTATCCCCGAATAAGTTTCCCTGCAGAATAGAATCAGTTAACCAATTAATATCAATAGTTTGTCGATCCAAAAGTGCCTGGCGTTGGCAAAAAAAAGTGAAGAATATGTACTTTTACGTTCGATGTATCTTCTATTATTTTTCAACATATGATGGGCTTGGTATATTGAAAGAATAAGAAACTTGGATTACCTCAGGAGATTCATAGCTTTAGAAGTTCACAAAAATTCGTGCCGAACAGGAATTTTTTAATTAGTGAACCTTTCGATTCCTCCAAATCATTTTATGATTGTCATTTACCGCTTTCCTCGTAAATCATCAAATAGTTGGTAATGCAAAAGTAGTTGGTAACTGAATCAGAGAAAAGTTGGTAAGTCATACAAATAATAGTTGCTAAACTTCATATAATAGTTGGAAAACAAAATATAAGCTGTTCGTAAGAAAGGAAAATAAAATTTGGTAAAAAAAAAAGAGAAGTTGATCAAACAAAAGATTATCAAACTAAATTCCAAATCCAGATTAGTCGCTGAGTACAACTAGTCAACAAGGTGATTAGTTTTAGCCGACGGAAAATATGAAGGGAAAACTGAGTCCCACAACATGAGATAATGGATCTCAGAAGCCACCATTGATAGGAGCCGAGAAACGTGGGTGGAACTAGGGGTGAGCAAGATGGACCGCCCAATCCGGGACCGGACCGGACCGACCGGTTTGGTCCGGTTCTCTGGAATATCGGTCCGGTTCCCGGTTCCTAAAAGTGGAACCGGTTTCCGGGCAATCCGGTTCCCGGTTCTAGAGTGGGAACCGGACCACACTGAACCGATAAATATATATTTTTCTAATTTATATATAATATTTAATATATATATATATGAAAAATATTTAATATTAGTCCCATTGGAACCAATTTTTCAATTTTTTCATATATTATATATATTTTTCCAATTTTTTCCATGGTCTTACGGGATCAAATCAGAACTACAAAGGAGAAAACGGAACAATTGGTTCCCGATTCACAAATAATATTTAATATTGGTCTCATTGGAGCGGTCCGGTCTGGTCCACGATCCTAAGACTAGCCAGTCCGATCCCCGGTCCTAGAAACTGGGAACCGGTCCTTCCGGTCCGGTTCCCGGTTCTTGAATTGGACCGGACCGGACTGGGAACCGCTCACCCCTAGGTGGAAGAGGGGCTTCAATAATAACTGATTATGCTGGGCATGAAATAGTCGTTAGAAATAATCGTCGAGTAGTGAAGTCGTTTGATTGTTTGTAAATACAAGTTGCTGAATTCTAAGAGCCATGTAGGATGTATTTAATTTCTTCATAACTATTGTTAACTGTCAGTCATAGGTATAGTTGCTTGAATTGTAGTTTGTGCAATTGATCGCCAATCAATCAACGAACACCGGTTGTTCAGCTTGACCCTCAATTTATCTTTACATGTCTGTACCACTTTACATAATTGGACACAATTGTCTCTAGTCTTAGTACTTTTAATTATCTCGTCGATTATACTTCCCCTCCAAGAATTAGTAAAGGACCTGTCACATCCTTTGTCGATTGATTCATCAATCCATATTCTGAAGGGTATTTCATCGATGCTTTTCTGCAAAACAAGTCCATACCTACTCACATCTAGTTTCTCTATAACAAAACCACGTAATAGATTCTTCACATAAAATTTTCAAGTCTCTTTGGGATTTTCTGCCCATCTCATATGCCATAATTTCGATATCTCTTGACCTAAGGCATCAAATGTCACAATAGTGAAGGGTCAATGTCTCCCATGGGAGCTCATAAGTCCATTGTGCTTTATCCATCTAGTTTTTACCAAAACAGCTCAAACAACCTTCAAAATCTTATCTTCTAAATTATGATAATAGTCAGCTAAATCAAGTGCACCTAAAGAAATTAGATTCTTCTTGAACTCCAAAATATGCCCCACATTAGGTATCATCCCTAACATGCTTACACACATTTTGTTTTTAGGGATAAGTGCATTAGAAGTCACAAAGCATTTTGTTGTGAAAGTACAATTGAGTCCTAGAATTTTAAAAGCGTAATGAAGTCTTGAAACTTCTCCATTGATGCAAATGAGTACATATGCTAGTTTCATCAAACTTAAGTGAAGGGAATTGAAGGGGGAGGCATGGAACATTGTGCTGGGGGAAGAGCCATGACATGGATCGTCGTGGTCAGTAGAAGGCGGCAGCACCCATGCAAGAAATATGCACATGTTAAAGATTAAATAGAGGGCCAGCTAAGCATACCTAATTATTTCCCTTAAATAGACTGCTATAATCTCAAGTTACTTAAAATTATAATGAAGTGGTAGTCCGGATCCATAACGATGGATGAAAGAGAGACTTGGTGGTTGCTGAATTTGGAACCAACGAACAATTTTAACCCAAGTGAAACGTAATATTCAAGTTATATTTCTATTAGACAGCTTGACATAAAGCAATTTCTCAGGTCAACTTGAAGACAAATTTTTCTCTAATTTTATCCTTTATGGATATTGAAGAATTGACATTTGATAACTCAGCCGGCAGGAAAAGTCAAGTCGCCATAGTGGCAAGGCAGCTCTCTCGTGATGTAAACGCGGCGAAAATGAAATGGTAGAAGAATTTAGGGTCAACAATAGAATATGAAAATATATACCAGAAACCATCATCGAGTTTTCCATCAAAGTACCGCTTTTCATCCTCTATTTTCAAAAGTATATCTATAACATTCTCACTTTTTTGTTTAGACACCATGTATCACTTCACAATAAACATTTATTTACCAAGTTGCCATTTTTCTTCATAAAATACCCTTGTCCTCTTGCAAAACCCATCCTTCCATTTAGAAAACTCTAAACCCTCTTTCTAAACCTTCACCAACAGTTGTCGCCACCGCCATTTATCCTCTCTCTCTCTCTCTCTACCGTGAGCTTTACCCTCTCTTTAATTGTGTTGACTGTGCTTTGTGTGTTTTCACTCTCAAATCCTCTGTTGTGCATTAGTTTGCTGCTTGCTAGTTGGAGCTACATTGGCCTTGGAGGGACCCAATGACATTAGATTGAGGTCCCCTAGATCAAATGACCTTGAGTCGATGTGGTGCCGACCTTGATTTGAGGTGGCCCACAACCTCAGCGACCTTACTAAGGTCGTCGGACCTCTCATTATAATATGAGAGAGAGAGAGAGAGAGGACCGAAGAAGGAAGAGAGGGGTGAATGACTAGCGAGCAACCTCCTCAATTACCAGAATGTTTTGTTTGAGTAGTGTCTACTTCGCACCATCGATGACCCAAAGGTCCAAGGTTGAAGTCTTATTGGAAGAGGTATGTGGTAACTAGGCAATGTAGCCAAGAGGCTTGCTCACGACGTGAACCGGACCGGTGGAAAGCAAGGGTGGTGATTTTTTAATGGAGGGCAATCTGGTCATCTTGTTCATAAGATTTTGTCAGAGGATGCAAAGTGAGATTTTTAAAAGTAGAGGATTAAAAGTAATATCGGGGTTAAATATGAAGAAGATGGTATTTTCCTAGAAAGTGAACATGAAACTAGTTAAATCAATCCCATGTGCTTTTTCAGTCAAATTAGTTTTAGTGGACAAAATGACCTTGTTGAAGCTAGAGTTTGAACCTTGTTGGTCAATTCATGAAGATGTCACGATCTCCGTCATTTCCACCTTCATTCATAATCTTGGACTATAAATCCTTATGTCATTTCTGCTTAACCAATTTAACAGGTTTAATCTTAAGACTTGGTCTCGAGCCAACAAATTTAATACATTAAGCTAACAAAAAATAGTTGCATCCCAATTCTAGCTAACCCAAAATCGTGTGGCGCATTTAGGTCATGCAGTCCACCAACCGATCACAATCAACATATAGCAGAGAAAAGTAACAAAGAAAAGTGAAGAATGCACCAAGATTTACGTGATTGACCCAATTCGGTATATTCGTCCCTATGTAGAGTAACCATAAAAATTCCATATGGATCTACAGAATCACACTGAAGATATTCCCAATTTTATGTACTCACAATCTCTCGTAATAGTCTCACCAAGAAAATTCACATAGAGAATACTTGGTACTCTGTTAAAAGCTCTATGCGTTTTATTTAAGGTTCGGAAGCACTTAAGTGAGTGACTGATTAAGTGTGCGTAATTCTCCAATTTCACATTGAACCTTGTACGGCTATTCTCCCAGGGATGTAGTGTTGAAGGATCAAATGTTTCATTTATGTTTTATATAGTGATTGTTGGTCTTGTTTTGGGAAAGGGAAAAGTGCCAAAAAGTCATAAACCTTTTGTGTTTGTGCCAATTTAGTCCTAAACCTTTTTGTCTTTGTGCCAATTCAATCCTAAACCTTTTTGTCTTTGTGCCAATTCAGTCCTTTCGACCAATTTTGATTGGATTTTACTGACGTGGACGCCGGCCGACCGGCAGCCGATCACCAGCGCTGACGTGGATAACTTTTAATAATATTTTAATATTTTTTGAATTTTTATTTATTTGTTTTTCTTTTTTCTTTTCCCTCCCCTCCCTCCTTCCTCCAGCCGGTCGCCGGAACAGCGACCGGCCAGAGGCTAGAGGCCGGCGAGGGCGCGACCTCGCCAGCCACGGGCGAGACTCGCCAGCAACGGTGAAGACAAGCCTCACCATGGCTGAGCGAGGCTAGACCTCACCAGATTTGGCAAGGTCGTGCCTCGCCCAGCCACCGGCGAGGTCGACCTCGCCAGCCCCTGGTAAGGCTTGCCCTCGCCAGCAACGGCGAAGGCGAGCCTCGCCCAGCGGCCGGCAAGGCTCGACCTCGCCGGCCTCTGGCCTCTAGCTGGTCGCTAGTCCGGCGACCGGTTAGAGGAAGGAGGGAGGGAAAAAAAAAGAAAAGAATAAAAAATAAAAAAGTATTCAAAAAAATATTAAAATATTATTAAAAGTTGTCCACGTCAGCGCCAGTGACCGGCTGGCGTCCACGTCAGCAAAATCCTATCAAAATTGATCGGAAAGACTGAATTGGCACAAAAACAAAAAGATTTAGGACTGAATTGGCACAAATGCAAAATGTTTAGGACTGAATTGGCACAAAAAAAAGGTTTAGGACTAAATTGACACCAATGCAAAAGGTTTAGGACTGAATTAGCACCAAGAAAAGGTTTAGAACTAAATTGGCACCATTGCAAAAGGTTTAGGACTTTTTTGGCACTTTTTTCCTTTTTGGAAATAAAAGGTTCGTATCTTGGGATTTATCTATACTTGGAGGATTGATCCAAGTTGAGTCCATATAAACCCCTTTAAGGTTTCCTAAAGGGTTAGAGTGTTTTCATTTATGAAATTTCACATTTGATCTCTTGGATTAGAGTATCTCTAAAATTTTGTATTTCTTTGGTGGATTCCATTTAGCAGTGAGTTATATGCCTGCGTTGTGGATTCTTTAGGTGGCAAGCATTTATTTTGTCGCATGTGTGTTACCTTCTAAATCTCCTATCATGTCAATATCACGTAGGCACAGACTTGGACCGAACCAGATAAAACTATTGGCTAAACTTTATTACATTTGTCTAGTACATCTCTAATGTGATTCATTGGTTGATTGCACAGATCAGGTTTAAGTGTAACAAATTAATATTAGCGTTGATGGTGGATTAGTGGCTCACTCTCAATTTGTTTTGGTGTTTTGTGAGTATCTCAAGGAAGAAATATCATGATCAACACGGTTTCCAGGTAACTTTCCAAATTGAGTTGGTCAGAAGAGACAACAGGTGAAGATGGTGTTTTGGGGTAGTAATGCAGTGCCTGGTAACGTCTATGGTTTGGTCTAGCAAAAGAGACTAATATTATATCCGGAATTAAGAAGGGAGAGAAAATTGCCAGATGGAAAATGAAAATAGATTAAATTTCAAAGATTTTCCTCCATCTCATTCTCACAAAATTTTAACATGTTTTCCTATTTTCCACACGCACTTTAGTTCTCCCACTTTTTCCTTCTTTTCCAAAACAGAGGATGATAGTGAAGTTGAGTGTTAGGGTTATTGGGGGTTCAAGTTGAAATATATGATGATGTAGAAGGATACTTGGATAAAGGGGGCCTAGTCAAACACTGGAGTCTCACGCGTGAGAAAATGATTATTGAAGTGCACATGTGAAGAGTGTCCATAAAGTCTCGCCTTAGAGATTCAATATGAGGTGGAACAATTAATCTGTCCTAGCGTCCTTACAACTCATAGACTTGAGATCTTTTATGAAAGTATAAATCCAATTACATATATTGATAGGCTCGAAAACCTGTGTCTTGTTGATCTCTTAGTAAAGGTATTGAATTTCGCATATTTGCGACATATCCCAATGTAGATTTAGCCATAGTGTACAATATGGTAGGAAAAAGTAGTATAGTTGTTTGGCTTCAGTTTTTTTTATTTCGAGTTTTCTGTTGACTAATGAATGTATACATGCACTTTAAAATTAACTTGTCATTGAACAGTGCTTTTAATTTCATTTTCTTAAAGGATGATTAAGACCAACTTAGGCAGGTGAATCCCATCCCATTGAATTACCCCACTCATTTCATAAACCAAGTAAGATGCTAACTAAAATCACAATGATCGATCCAAGCAAAGGTTTTTTTTTTTCATCCACAACATGTTCACTCCTCAATCAATAAGTCTGATGAAAATATGTCTAGAATTTGAGCTTGGAAAGAAAATTCCTAATTCAATTAGGTTCCTAATTTAAATGGGTTTCCTAGTTGAGTGGTTTCCTAATTTGACTATGTTTCCTAATTTGTGCTCGTGAATTACATCCCAAGTGTTTGAAGCGGTGAAAATCTTGTGTTGAGATTAGTGTATTTCCTTACGAGATTGTAAGGTTGTTTCATGAGAAATTGTGGGGGCTACACACTATGTGTTTTATTGCATGTAATTGAAGGCGGAGAAACACTGAGAATATTTGAGTGACTTCAGTGTAATTGTAATCTCTGTTTTATCGATTATTCTACAGTAAAATTCTGCACTGCTCTTCCTCTGGACGTAAGTCACAACCACCGTTTGTTATGTTTATTTATTGTTCAATCGTTTGTTTCCGCAATAAAACGAATCATGTTAAATTCACCATAGTTAGAGAATTTCGTTTAGCTTTTGCTTTTGGTTTCTCTTTAATATGACATCTTGTTGAAATCATCGGTCAAATTAACTTTTACCATGTTCAAAGACATAGTGAAAGATAAAAATGGATCAAAGGTAAGGGGTGGCCATCTCGGCCACTGACTCATGCTCAAAAAAGGTTCAGTGGCCAAATTGAAATTCACGTCGATAGTGAAGATGAGAACTGGCATGTTCTGAAGCTATCACCTTGCCAAACACGATGGCTAACGACCGATGAAACTTTCCACTAGAATCTATTGATTATCTCCATCTTTTTAATCCCATCAAAGTCTACAAAAAATGTGCGGAAAAATTACCCAATCAATCTCAAACTTATTGTACGGATGCCAATTCAGTCTTAAATTTTTCAATTTTGTCAATTCAGTCATAAACCTTTTAGCGTAATGTAGTCCTTCTAGTAAATTTTCGCCGGAAATCGTTAACGTAGCGATCCAATTATCACCGATTGTCCAAAGTAGTACCCCGCTAGGTTATGATTTCTGACCAAAATCAGCCAGAATGACTATATTAGAATTTTATGCAAAAACTTATGACTAAATTGGCAAAATTGAAAAGTTTAGAACTGATTGGCATTCATACAATAGGTTTATGACTGATTATACAACTTTACTAAATGTGCAGTTCTTACATGTTTAAGGATCTTACTGTTTTCCTTTTCTTTAATATTATTATCATCTAAATTCAAAATGTGTGTATTTGGTGGCGGCCAAACAACATCAAAATGTCAAAATATGCCAAAACTTGAGTCATTCATTTTTCATTATAATTTCTATAACATTTTCGGGTTGATACGACGTGAGTGATTGGAGGCGGCGTCGAAGAACGAAGAAGCATCTGAGACCAAAGGAGTTGTAAACCCCCGTTTTCTTTTGGTCCGACGTGGCATAATGTTCTTGTAATAAACAAAGAATTACCCCAATTTTGATTCCTGCGCACTTGTAATAAACAAAGAATTACCCCAATTTTGATTCCTGCGCACTTCTTCCTTCCTTCCTTTGGCAGCCTACCCACGCCTTTTCGTGCCCCACCGCGCAAGTGGTTTTATGACTGCCGAATCGGAACCTCCCACGTGTCAAAGAGCACGAGCAAAGCCAGTCAAATCATTCCTCATGTGCACATGCTTTCTCGTTTTATACCGAAAATGCACCTGAACTTCCTTTCGTTGGAAATGTTTCTTGTGTTGTGGGCGTGACCAAGTACCTAACATCATTTCTTAATTCATAATCCAAAACATTAGTCAAGTCAAATGTTAGAGTCCGCTTTCTACACTAGACATTTCGCCCATAATTACCCCAAACACGCTACGCAAGCTTCATCATCACATTCTTTTCGCAAGATAAGCTCGAGCCTACGCAACGAAAAGAAAACGCACCACACAAACTCCATCCTCACCCTGATTTCATCTAAATCATCAATGACATTCTCTTCCGTGCCGACGATGAAAAGAACCAGGGATGACTATGAAAGGATGAGCTTGGACATGGCGAAATGCCTCATGCTTCTCTCCCATGGGGTCAACACAAACCCTAGAAGAGCCGCCGTGCATCACAACGAGGACAACTTCGTGTGCAAGACGTGCAATCGGCGGTTCTCTTCATTTCAGGCTCTTGGCGGCCACCGGGCAAGCCACAAGAAGCCAAAGCTGCCGGAGAACAAGCCGGAAGACTGCACCAAGTTGGCGTTGGGCTTCACAGCGAAGCCCAAGATGCATGAGTGCTCGATATGCGGGCTTAAGTTCCCTTCAGGGCAAGCCTTGGGCGGCCACATGAGGAGGCACCGGACCGAGTTGATGAGCGGGAACATGATGAAGATGGACGAATTTTTCGTGATTGGTTCGACAGTCCCGGTGTTGAAGAGGTCGAATAGCAGCAATAAGAGGGTTATGGACCTGGACTTGAACTTGACTCCTCTTGAGAATGACCTCATGTTCTTGTTTGGCAAGATGGTTCCGAAGATAGATCCCTTGCTCCTGTAATTATGATTCCTCATTCTCCCGTTGTTTTCACGAGGAGTTCTACTTTAGGTTGATTATTTATTCATTCATTTGTTGTACAAAAAGAAAGTCCTATTTGGACCGACTGTGTTTATGGGCTTTTGTTAATCATCCGAGATTTCGAGTTCAATCATTCTTTTATCTCTTTTTCGTTTTTTCTTCCAGTTGTGAAAGAGGTCATTTGTTGGCAAAATCATGTTGAATAAAACTAGATAGGAAGACAGCATGGTGTAAAATGTTAGTTAAGAAAGATGGTGTGGCGATTTTGGATATTTGCATTTGTTTCAATATCCACTTACAGTCAGCCTTTGCTTAGACGCCTTTTTCAAACTTTAAGTTATTCAAGCTTAAGGCTTTCGACTTTAAAACCATATGAAATGATTGCATAATCTATTATTAGACGGAGGGAGATTATACGGGAAAAGTGTTATAATGTTCAAGGAGTAATATGCGAAAAGGCTTGATATTGTATATTTCTAAAAGTAGACTCAAAATGAACCCACTTATATAATTTCTATCAATATAGTGAATCATTTGTTGCCCTTCTCGTTTGTCAATTAAATGCTAAAAATTCAAGAATGGATGTAGTTCGTGGCTTTCCCTCCCCATAAGAAATCGTTTCATAGCTGCATTTTTTACTTTACGGTGAGTGTTGATAAAGGAACGACGCCTTTTCGGAATTCAAGTTCAAAAGAGCGTTTGATTTCTGCTAATATTTCATGCAAATTTTGCTGTAGCTGGTCGATGTGAAACCACAATTATATTGTTAACCTTTGACGAGCTTCAAGCTAGGAGGGCAATCAATTTAGAACTTGCTTTTCTATAAGACAAACTCGCTTTAAAGTTCTTGAGTAGGATAAGTTCAGATGCTTATCATACTTTCTCATCTTCCAGCTTTTAATCTGACCAGAATTGAAAACCTCCCAGTTTGATTCAAATCTTTTTAAAACTTCTAAAGTTCTGTATCCCGGAATAAGTTTCCCTGCGGAATAGAATCAGTTAAGCAATTAATATCAACATTTTGTCGAACCTAAAGGGTGCCTAGCGTTGTCAAAACAAAGTGAAGGATATGTACTTTTAGGAACGATGTATCTTCTATTTTTTTTTTCAGCATACGATGGGCTTGGCATATTGAAATGAATGTGTAGTGAACAAGAAACGTGGATTACCTCAGGAGATTCAAAGGTTTAGAAGTTCACAAAATTCATGCCAAACAGGAATTTTTAATCATTGAATCCTTCGATTCCTCCAAATCATTTTATGATTGTCATCTACCGCTTTCCTGGTAAATCATCGTGGAGTTGGTAACTGAATAGGAAAAAAATTGATAAATCACACAAATAAAAGTTACCAAACATTCATATAATAGTTGTTAAATGAAAATATAAACTGTTCATAAGAATGGTAAATAATTTTTGTAAGAAAAAAAAAAGAGGTTGGTGACAAAAAAGTATCAAACTAAATTCCAAAGCCAAAGCGATTTGAGCCCGTTTCCAAATGGGCAACATATGAGGCCCTAGCCTTTTATACCACTGAAAGAAGCTCTCATTAAAAAAATGAGCAATGCCATGAGCCGGCGATTTATTTTTACCAAGCTCATTTAGAGATAAAATCCTGATGTATAGGAAAAGTCTTTTTACCATAGCACCCAAAACATTCATCCAGTCACCTCCTGTCACATCGGATTGATTATATTATCCTTTGTAAGTCCCATTCTTGATATAAGATGATTTGTTACCTTTTTCTTCTTCTTTCTCTTTTGTTTCAAATTTACTAGAGACGAAACTACTCATGCTTCACTAAAACAACATTTATTAAGGTTAAATGTGGGGTCTATTATTGATTTAAGATTGTTTCTTGCCTCTTTTCTTCGTTTTTGGTTTTTTCCTTTTCTTTCTCCATTTGGAACAAAATTGGTGTCCCTCTTTTTTTAAAAATAGTTTTATTTTGTAGATAGCTAACTAAATATTGTGTTAATGCGTTGTGTATTTCTCTTTTCTTGTACTAGGAAACTATTATTTAAAAAATAACCTAAGCACAAGTAATAGAGAATAGACTCCATCTACCAATTTTAGTACATATTTCGTCTAATTATAAATTTAATATATGTCATTGTGTTATAGTCTGTGTATTTTAATTGCTGAACTTTCATTTATTCAGTGAATCTAATAATCCAATTTTTATTTATTTTTCATGCCATCATTGCATGATATTTTATAAGATACTTTCAACAAAAATTAAAAATATGACAAAGTTCGGTACATTAAAAATTCTAAACATCCATTTATTGTCATGAAAATGCAAAAGAAAATGATCCCTAAAACATTATTATATAGAATACTATCCCTAAAACATTATTATATAGAATACTATCTTTGTCTTGAATACATATATAATTAGCTATTGACAAGAAATTATGGCAATTGTAATGGCATTATAAGACAATTCATTCAAACCATTTGCAAACACATATATTTTTGTCAATTCTAATTGCATCATAATTTTCATACAATCATCAATGAAAAGAAAATTACACACTGCAATAATAACAAGTCACATGTGCAACATAGCAAAAGATATTGTTCGTTTAACTGGTTTTTCAATTGTTCTGTTCGAGTAGTTTGTTCGCAATCTGAACTTCCATCTTGGATGGCCAAAATAGGCAATCTGATCACCTAACCATGCACTCATGCAATTTAATAACATCATCATTGGCCTAATGGTGCTAACGTATTCTTAAACATAAATGAGTATACATTCATGCACCTAAACTAGGCTTTCCCAAACATAGAAAACTCTCATTTGCATGCTGTTCTAACCAATTGGTGCGCCGCATTCCGATTCCTACACCCTGACCTGTATGTAAACTTTGTCTAGATAACTCTCGTTTACATATTGTTCTATACAATTGCACGTCCAAACTCAAGTTGAGCAGAAACACGAATATCAGGTTGTGAAGGCAAGTAGCAACTCGAGCACTATTTGATACTGCACGTATTGATTAACGATTGGCGATGAATATTCTGTTCAACAAAATGCCTGCACTTTCAGTGTACAAAAGGCAAGTAGCAACTCAAGCACTATCTGATACTCAACATACTGATTAATGATCGACAACAAAAGCTTATGTTCAACAAAATGCCTGCATTTGCTTAGCGAAAATGACATAAATTCACCTAAAAAAAATAGAAACTTGATTAGGCTTAGACCAAAAGCTGTCCAAAAGTTGTTTGCCAAGTTCCAAACAAACAAAGCTACATATGTCTCAAACAAAAAACCAGCTGATAATTGACATAAATTCACCTAAAAACCATTTTCGGCAAATATATCAATCCATTCTATGGTCTCTAGTGGTCCAGTAGGTTCGACCTTCACATAATTCATGGGCTTTTCCTTATATGGTCTTGCAACAATTGGCTTTGGAGGAGTTGTTGTAGCCTGAGATGACCGAGGCTAGGAACTGGCCTGTGGTTGTGATAGTGGATTTGGCTTCATTGCAATATGCTTTCAAGGAGCTGTTGTAGCATGAGATGACTGAAGTTGCGAACTGGCCTGGGGTTGTGACTGTGCCTTTCGCCTTACAACATGTTTTCGAGTGTTGTAGCATGAGATGACTGAGGTTGGGAACTGGCCTTGGGTTGTGATGGTGCCTTTCGCTTTATAGCAACATACTTTCGAGGACGAGTTCTTAATTGCTGAGGTTGTGCACGAACTTGGGGATGTGCCTTTGCCATTGAAGCAGCTTCTGAAACTACCCCTTTGTCTGGTAGGTTAAATAGTCTTACACCAGTTGTGCCAGGCTACAAAAGAATAAGCATGTTTTTAGCTTAAGGAGACAGGCAATTGTTATTAGAAATTCTTAAAATATCACTCACATTGAGAATTTGAAGGCTTGTCCTAGGATTTGTGTCAACACCCAACCCTACCATTTTCTTCCTCTTCGCCTGTGATTGTCCTTGCATCATTTCATTTTCAATTGCGGGTCCTTTAAACTGAAAAAAAAAAAATCATTTGACACGAGAATGCAGTCACAACACATGTATGCATGGGGATTGAGGTGTTACTCACTAGGATTTTTTGAGGTCTATCCTGAGCAATTATACTGGCTTGAGTTTAATAAATACATTCACCTTGATCAAAACAGACTTAAGAAAAAGCATTGGCCTCACCACTAGTTCCTCTTGCATCAACAGTAGCTATGCATCCTATGGGCTCCTGCAGTGGCACTACATCCTCTTATATATGCACTAGCATGAGCAGAAGCATTGGCCTACCCACTATTATCTCGTATTGCACTGGCCTCTGCAAAAGCACTGGCCTGGCCTTTGGATCCTCCTTCAGTTATGTTTGTCGTTGCTTTAGATTTAGCATGAATATATATTCATCGTCATTAAATTGGAACCATGACATATAAAACTTACAATACATGGTTCTACCATAACTTACTTGTCTTTTGTCAGGCCTTGGTCCAATGGAATTGGCTTGAGATTGAGCATGAGCTTCAGCTGTACTTGCATTGGCATGAGCACTGTATGTACATACATTGACCTAAGCATTGGCTTGAGAAGCACATAGCACGCATTAATTGACAACATATTAAGATAACATGCTCAGCATCGACATGATCAATTAGTTGAGATAATACGTTTTTCAAAGGTCATCCCTTGCTGTTATGTCCAACCATATTGTAGGTAGAACAAGTCATTTGTTTACCCTCTTTAGTCATTCTATCACCATTTACAAGCGCAATTGGTTGCTTTCTTTTACTCCTTTTTGGCCTACCGGGCATCTTCTTCATCGGCGGGAGTTAAAGAGCTTCTTTATTGGTTTTCTTCCAAAATTTCTATCCTCTCACTGTAGGCATCATGAATTGATAAGCACTTAGATACTTTGCCTTGTTGAAGCACTCCACTAGGTAGTCACCCGGATCATTTTTCTTGTGGTGTATCGCACAGATGGCATGGCAACATGGAATTCTACTAAGTTCCCAAGCTCTACAAGAACAAGCTTTCAAATTTAAGTCTACAACATATTTGTCACCACCTTCCATAATGTCATATCATTCATCTCCTTTCCATATCAAATGGCAATACCTACTAGTAGTTGTATTCTGTTGTAACTTATGCATAATTCTTGAACCATAATTTCTAATCCACCTAGTACA